TCTAGCTTCAGACCCTGAAATTTCACATCTGAAATTCTGATGCTGCAGGTTGGGGGCAGGGTCTGGGCATCGATATCTTTGTAAAATTTCCCACATGAACCTGAGGCTGAAAGTTGCAGAAATCACAAACAAGAGCCACTGAACAGACTTCTGGTGGGTGGATTATGCACGACCACAGGCAGGGGGAGGCCGGGAGGGCCTGTTGTGAGTGGCAACTCACGCTGGCACCCCTCCCTTGGTTTGATTGACAGGGAGCAGGAGATGCACAGGACTGAGCTCGAGGTCAACTTGCCTGGTTGTCACCCAAATCCTCCTGAGGATACTGTGAGTCCCTTATCAGGATGTGTCGAGGTACACGGTCACCATGCACTTTCATGGGGAAAGGTCAATGCAGGAATGGCCAACAGTGGGCAGGAAGCACGCAAGCCCAGGGGTCAGGCACAGAGGGGAAACAGCTCTGTTTCCCCTACATTGAGCTGTGTGGCCTTGGGTCACTGTCCCCTCCCTCTCTGGCAACCATGTTCACCTCAACAAGGAACAACAGCACCTTTATCAATAGATCATTGAACGAACTTTTTTCAACATATTATTAGAAAGCAGGTACTATTCTGGGAACTAAGTGAACAAAACAAACCAAATAAGGCTCGTCCTCATGGAGTATGCATCGCAGGGGGGTGACACAGACAAACCATAATGACTGCGTCCAACATAGAATACCCCGTGCCATTTGTTATACATGATATAGGTAAATCACATATGTCATTAAATTTTATATTAAAAATGTATATTTTATATCCTATAAATTTACGTGTAAGCATATAATAACATATTGAACATGACAGAGGAGCTGAGGGGAATTGGAGACAGCAAGTATGGTGGATGGAAATAGATGCAAAGCACTTGACATTGAGGATAGCACAGAATGAGTGTGCGATGAATTACGTTTCAAAGGCCAAACCACTAAAACTACAAGCATTAAGATGAAGTAAGAGCATGTGTGGTGTGAAGTGCTTAGACAGGGCCAGGAACCAGAAGACGGTGGCTTTTATGTCTCCCTCTGTGACCCTGCCCACCCCTCCCCAGGGACGCAGGCACCTGCTCGCACACGTAGCTCCATCTCTTCTTTGCACGTGGAGGGCGGTGGGAAGATAAGCTCCTTCTCTCTGGATCCTTCTTCCCAGCTCTCCTGCCACTTCAGACCGTCACGTGACCATGAGATGAAACAAGTCACTTGATGGAAGATAAGAAATCAAAACATACGGAGGGTCCTTGTCCAGAGAGCGCAAATGACTCTTCATTGTAATATGTGAACCAAAGTCTCAAATTAAAAATAAAACAAGGCATGCTGTCGTTTTTTTGCTGCAATCCAGCCACTGAGGAGAGTCATTGTCACACAATCACGGAGAATATTACGTTGATTGGCAAGAGCTGGGCTTTGTACAAGGGACAAAATTCCCCACAGCTAATCTACAATGGAATTGTTCAATGTCAGGTACAGCTTTAATAATATCGTTCTGGGCTGCGTTGGATGTAAATATCCCACTTTTCATTTTGTAAGCAATCAAAGGGAAGCTTTCCAGACAGAAGAGCATGAACAGTTATAATATCTGTGCGAGAAACACACGGACAAAACAAAACAAAAAAAAAAAGAATCAAAGAACACTCCACCTTAGAAAAGCTCCGCTTTGTGGCTTATCTCCAATCTCCTCTGTCTGTCCAGCAAGTTGCTTATTAGACACGCCACAAAAGACCACACTTTTAATGTTGCCCTTGACATTATTAAAAAGTACAGGACTGGCAAATCAGACTGGAGAAATCAGACCATTGAATCTGGACAATCAGGTAACTGCCCTTGATCTCATCCAGGTCTCGGGCAAGATGCAAAAGGAAAGAAAACACTCATTTAGTAAGCACCTACTATGTGCTTGGCCCCTTGGCACATTCCATCTGAGGGTACTGAGTGGTGGAGATACCTAGGTTCAAGCCTAGTGCTGCCACTGTCTAGCCAGGTGGCCTTTGGCAAGCGGGTTGGTTCCTTGAGCTCTCTGTGCCTGGGTTTTCACCCATTAGGTGAGCACAATACATTCCCTACGGGGTTCATTTTGGGGATTAGGAAATAAATGTTGAATCGGGACTGAAAACAGTAGGCACTCATCGGTGGGTATTATAAATCTAATCTTAATCCCCACAACAACCCTCTGTGGGTTGAGCTGTTTTCCCTCAAAAGACACATTGGAGACTAGCGGCCACACCTGTGACTGTGACCTTATTTGGAGATGGGTCTTGCGGATGCTCAAGTAGGGATGAGGTCAATAGGATGTGCCCTACCCAATATGTTCGGGTCCTTATCCAAAGAGGAAGATGAAGAATCGAAGCCCAGAGAGGTGAACGTTACAGCTCAAGTTTACTCAGCCAGAGGTAGATGAACTGGAATTTGAACTTGGATCTCTTTGAATCCCACGCTCCGCTCACCGTGCAGCCTCTGGGAATCAAAGCTTGGGAGAAAATGGTGAGGTTTGCCATGGGTGCCATTTGTCACACCTAGGTCACAGTGGGCTGATTATGAACAGCTCATTAAGTAAAGAGCAGTAAGCATTTGAGAGTGACTTTTTTAAAAGAATCGACTTTTATTTATAGGCGACGTTCCAGTCATTAATTTCGAAGGAAGAAAGCCCAAAGCAGAAGCAGGTTCATTAAAAATTTGACATTAGTAATTTAATTAAATCGGGTCTTCGCGTCTTGTTGCAGAAAATGAAACGTTAGTTCTACACCAGTTCTCAGCCCATTTCCCCTGGTGGTCTCCCTCCCCTCACCTTAGCTTACTTTCTTCTCCAAATGTTTACTGACCCACTCCTCCCGTCCCCAGGACTCACACATTCATATCCTTACTGCCTCTGCTGTAAGCGAGCAGCAGGGGATCATGGGAAATGTTAAGTGGGCCCGAACCAGGGGATCATGGGAAATGTTAAGTGGGCCCGAACCAGGGGATCATGGGAAATGTTCAGCCGGGCAAATGGACAAGATGATAGAGGTGAATCCTTCCATCTGCTCCTCTCACTTGTCAGAGTAGAGAAGGAAGAGATCTCTGGTCCTTAAGATTCTCCAACAAAAATACAATCCTCTGAGGATAGATACCTGCTCTGCCCAAGTTCTCTGCTGTTTTCCCAGCACCACACACAGGCGACCACCATACATTTTTTTTTTAATTTTTTAAAAATTTTTTTAATTAAAAAAAATTTTTTTTTCACCATACATTTTTATTGCAGAAAGAAAATAATAAATTAATGAGCAACTCTTCAAATAACTAATTAACGAACACACAAGTACATCCCTTACCAGTGCCAGGCACTGTGTTAGTCCCCAGGATACACTTGCCCAGACCCTTGCCCTCAGGGTTCTGTGGCCCCGTGGAATGAGAACATCTGCCATCTTTTGAGCGCCTACTATGTGCTAGGCACTGTGTGAGCCATGGGGTATCTACTGTCATAACCTCAACCACTGTTTTCTCAGTGAGGTCATGTGACTCAAGGTTATGTGACTCGAGGTCATACAGAGTAAGGTGATGGTAGCACCTATTTCCAGACCCAGAGCAGGATGATCCAAAGGTTTCCTTTTCCCTCTATACCAAGCTATACCAAGCTGTTTCTTCCCAGGAATTTTTTCCTCCCAGGGGAGAAGAAGGAGGGCAGGCTGCCTTTTGGAGTGTTCTGAGATCATCGAGGGTAGAGCGGGTCCAGGTTGGCAGGCACCAGCTGCAGCACCACAGGGAGCCTTTTACAGCCCAGGCTGCCATCTCCACCTGCTCTTCATGGCCACTCCACCCTCTCACTCTAGGTCCCTTGATCCTTTAGTTTACCTGTAGCCCCAGGACCTTTGCACAGCTCTGAAACACTCTTTCTGGCCCTGCTGATTAATCTCTCAGAGTTCTACATAAATGTCACCTCCTCCAGAGGGTTATCTCTGACTCCTAAACTGGGGTTGGAAACCTGCCTTGTCCTTATCCTCCCATAACGTTTCACCTGCCTTCAGCCATGCAGACCTCCCACGGGCCTAGGAGCTCAGGGTGCTGGTGTCTACCCACTGTGCACCAGGCTCTAAGTGCTTTGTATTCATTACCTCACTTAATTCTCCCAGTGAGCCTTTGAGGAAGGTGCTGCCATGATCCCATCTCACAAAGGAGAAGCGGAGACAGAAAGGTTAGGAGACTTGCTCAGTGTCCCTCAGGTGGTGAGCTGTCAGTTGGGGGAGTGACCTGGGCCTGCAGGTTGGAGTCGGTACCCTCCCTACTCTTAGAGATGCCCGTGATGTGTCATTATCCAGTGGATTCACTTGAGCCGTGGTCTGAGCAGGCTGAGACCCCTCGTCCTTGCCAGATGGGACTGGAATGGTGGGGGGGTGTATGATCTTCGGGGCACTGGCAGTCCCAGCTCTGGGGACAAAGGCAGAGGGAGCTGGGTCAGGTAACAGGTGCCACCCGGGCACAGAAGAGCTGCATCCTCCCTCCCTCCTAGCTGGCAGGTCACGCTGTTGTCGCGTCCTTAACAAGACTCTTTCTCTGGTTAACGAGAGTGAACTTGCTGCTGGTGGCGATGGCTTTGGCTCTGGTCGCTGTGCACCGTGTTCCCCAGTTCCCAATTTTCTCTTTAAACAGATCAGGCTGATGCAAACTCAGGTTCTCCTCTTCTCCCCTCACTGCTTATTCCAGTGTTAACCAAAGCTGGAGCCCCCAGACCCACTGGACCACAGGACTCCCTTGGCTGAGGGAAAAGGACATTGGGTTTAATGAGCAACTACTCTGTGCAATGCTCTGTGCCCCCTCCATGGAGTCTGAAATCAGGGCAACTATACCCAAGCAATGACAATGTTTTCCTTGGGATGACATCCCTCACAATCAGGACGGACACCCCAACACCCAGGGCAACACATTAGAAAAAGCAGAAAATGTAGATGTCCCATGTGGTTCCTCCCGCTAACCCACTGGCTGTCTCCTCTCTTCACAGTTCTCCCCAGCCACACGTGTGGGAACCCAGGGAGGCTGCCCAATGGCATCCAGCAGGGTTCAACCTTCAACCTGGGTGACAAGGTCCGCTACAGCTGCAACCCTGGCTTCTTCCTCGAGGGTCACGCCGTGCTCACCTGCCACGCTGGCTCCGAGAACAGTGCCACGTGGGACTTCCCCTTGCCCTCCTGCAGAGGTAGGTGGCCTCAGAGAGTCTGAGGGCGTGAGCGGGGAGGGGGTACAGGAGCTTCCCATGAGATCCAGTCTCGGGGCAGGTGGCGGGGAGACATTACCTCACTGCCCTAGCAGGGCATGGCGTACCCACTGTGGCTCGTCCAATCTGGGGAGCATCCAGGGTCCTTGGGGTGGGACTCCAGGTATCAGGAGCTTCTCAGCCCTGCCTGGGCTCCCAGGATTTCCTTCCCTACATCAGCAAGCTTATTTTTAGCCACTCTGCCCTGCAGAGTTATTTGGGAGTCCTGGATCCATGGAATGTAAAGATGAGAGTCCTCCTGTCACAGAGGGGCATCATTTTCTTTTCCTTCCTGTTAGAGACCATCCCTCCTCTTGCGTTTGCATGGCTCCCCCATGGGCTTTTGGACAGACCTTGCACGGGCAATTATTCCTTTCTTAGAAATTCAACTTCTCTCCCTATTTAAAGGTTGTTTCCTCCCAGCCTCCAAATAGGTTCAAAACCTGTTAACCTCAACATCTCCCCACAAAGAGCAAAGCCACCCAGCTAGTGTGACCAGCTCACCCCAATTCACCCAGAGTTTTCCTATTTGTAGCTCTGAAACTCCCATGTCCTGGAACCCCCTCAGTCCCAGGCAAGCCGGGACACTGGGCATCCTACGCCCAGCCTATCCCTAATTGTCCCCCTCCACACACTCATTATAGCCAAGCTTATTTCTAGAACAATTTCCAATTCTTATCTAAAGATGAAAATGATATAAAATTGTTTTGAAAAATCTTAGACAATGCAAAACATAAAGAAACAAAATTTGTCAATTTTAACCATGAGTTTTGTGTATTTCTTTCATCTTCTTCCTATAATGTTGCACAAGTGCATATTCTGCAATATGTATCTAGATGAGCATCCTACTGCACTGAGGTAACTTTTAATCCACTCTGAAGAACTGCCACACCCACTATGGCAGTCCTCCATGCCACACCCACTATGGCAGTCCTCCATGGCTCAGCTCTGTGAAGGCACCATCTTGGTTTGTCTCCCCACCTCACCTCCCATCACCCTCTACAGAGTGGCACTTTGCCTCCAGTGTTCTACTCATGCAGCCAGGTCAGATGGGAGTTTTTTTGTTTTTTAAATCTTTATGCTCCTTGGCCTCCCAACATCCCTTGGCATTACTGATCCTTCTTTTCTTCTTAAACTCTCACCTTTACATTCCATGGATCCAGAGCCCCCAAATAATGGCCTAGGAGAAACATTTCAGAGAGTTGAGTGATGATTGGAAGAAGAAGCTTTTCCTTTGGTTTGAGTTTTACTTTCCTCTTGGAGGAAGCTCTTCTGCAGTTACTCTCAAAAGACTAGCTCCCAGTCTAAGCAGCTTCCTCTGCCGCCATATGCACACGTTTCTTAGTGTTGACACCAGGGATCTACAGTACTTGGCATGCGTACCTACTCCCCTTATTCCCCCTCCCATGGCAGACATAATTAATCGATCAGAACACCCTTCTTGCTTGAGTTCAGAGACAGCTATGAATTCCCTCCCATCAGGCAGACCACAACCAACCAATTTGATTTGCCACCTCCCTTCAAGTTTGTTTACCCCTCTTCAGCCAGTGGAATTGGCTTCAGCCATGTTGATCCTTCTTGGTGGGTCCCAAGGGGACCAGAGTCTCCATTCTTGCCTTCCTAAGTCCCGTCCTCTCAGGTCCTACTTCTAACTCCTCTTTTCATGAGATGGAAATCAGGAGTGACCAAACTAACTGGGCGGGACCCTGGCCCTACACACAGGTGTGTGGCCCTGTGGGACCTAACCTCAGCCTGAAGCAGGTGTATGTGCTTCCACAGAGCACCCCCTGCCAGGCCCTGCCTGCCCTGAGGACATGACCCTTAACATTCTGGATAGTGTCAGGGTTGTGATATGCCCATAGAACAGGAAATAGGAGAGCAGATGAAATCGTGTTTTTATTTTGTGAAATATAAGCCACAGCTTTTTTGTGCCACTAGAAATGTCAGCTTTTTCACTCAAGCCAGACTAAATATGCAATATGTATCTAGATGAGCATCGTACTGCATGAAAGTAACTTTTAATCCACTCTGAAGAACTGCCACACCCATTATGGCAGTCCTCCATGCCACACCTACTATGGCAGTCCTCCATGCCACACCCACTATGGCAGTCCACCAAGTAGCCCCTATGGCTCAGCATTGTGAAAGCACCATCTTGGTTTGTCTCCTCTCCTCACTTTCCACCACTCTCTGCAGAGTGGCACTTGCAGTCCCAGTGTCGGAGGCAGAGAGGCTGTCTTGTTCAGGAGAATTTCCACCCCTAATGCACTCTCTCTCCCAATGCCTTCAGGAATCCTCTTCAGATTCAGCCTCCTCTGGACCTTGAACTCATGGCCGGCCATGCCTCACTTCCCTGGCTGGGAACTTGGTCCACTTTTCTTGAGTCACCGTCTTCCAAACAACAAAAACAAAACCCAACCAAACCAAAGCACAAAGGTGTTTGCAAGCAGTGCCCCTGTTACTGAAGCATTGTTCACAGTTTGGCCTTACAAATGACTTAAAAGGAAAGGGCCACCATTGAGTCTGAAAGTCTCCTGGCCCCGGCCCCTGCCAGCTTTTCCCTGGCTTCAGCCTTTCCAGTGTCCCCACGGTGTGCACTGCACCCTCTCGTCTTCTACCAGCCCCTTCTGCCTTCGTACCCGCCATACTTGACCCTGTTTCAGGACTTCCATCCACTGCTTAGACAGAAGCCCATTTTCCTCTTGGATTTGCCACCTCCTTACATCTTCCTCTTCCCCACCCAAGCTGATTAGGTGCAGGGGGACATTTTCTTGAATAATGAGTGATCTCACCCTGAAAGGAACTCTGGGGCTGGCTGCCAAAATCCTTTCGGTCAACCTCACCAGCCAGAGAGAAGCCAGGAGGGCCACCTTGGCATGTGTGCCCCCTCCCCTTCTTCCCACTCCTGTGGCAGACATAATTAATCAATCATAGCACCCTTCTCGCTTGAGCTCAGAGACAGCTGTGAATGCCCTCCCAGGGAGCTCTTCCCCAGGTCTGATCACATCCCCACACTCCATTGTGTGCCCGTGCACAGCGGTGACTGCTGGTCTTTCAGTGGGAAGACACCCGTCTCCTGCATTCCCTGCACCAGTGATCCCTGGGCGCGGGCCTGGATGCCCCCCATGGGCACGACCATGTCCTAGTCTCTCCATTTTTCTTCCAGCTTCTCAATTGATGATGATCCTGCCCCCACCCTGGCTTTTCTCCCCCCTTCTCCCCTCCCTCAAATGCTGGGAGCCCAGTGAGGCCTCTGCTCTGGGAATTTCCTTCCCTGTCTGGAACCTCTCTTCAGCTCTGATTCTGACTTCCAAAGCTTCAGCCCATGTGGAAGTTGACCACTCCCCGGAGCCCCTCCGGGATACGCTCCAAGCTTGGCACATCCACACCCTGACTCCGATTCCCCCAGCATGGTGAGGAATGTCCCCTCCCGAGGTGGCCAAGCCTGGCACATCCGGGCATCTCAGGCTCCGTCCTTCCTTCCTGCATCACTGGCTGCTGCCCCCTGAGCTGCCCACTCTCACCACCCCAGGCGCTCCTCGGGAGGCCTCCTCCTCTCCACCTGCCTCCCTTCAGGCACCCCTCTGTGGTCAGCCGTCCTCAGGCCCACACACCACCTGGTCCGTCCTCCACAGTGGGAGTGAACTTTCTAAGACATGATCTGACACCATCACCAAATTGCTTAGAATCTCGTCAGGGGCTCTTTGGCACTGACAGGGTCAAGTTCGGATTCCTTCGCCTGGAGCCGGAGACCTATCAGAAAGAGAGAGTCCCACAGATCTCTCTACTCTGTCTTCTCTTAAGTAGCTCCCCGTGGAGCCGCACCGAGAGCACTCCCTCCCCAGCACACCAGGGAGCCAGCAGGAGGAGAGCCTGGCATTCAGAAGGCGTCAGACCCCGGAGGCGCCCTGCCATCCAGGGCGGAGGTGGGGTTCTGCTCAGAGGCTGAGGAAAGACACGATTGCTCTCCAGTGCCAGGGCCCCGCCCTCCTCCTGGGGCATCTCTGTGTCCTAATGTGCAGCAAACCACAGGGGCACCCTAAGAAGCCCCCTCAGTAGTGTCAGCGCTTTTCTGACAGCGGTTCTCCAGGTGATCTTCCTTAGGAGGCCAAGCCACCTGGAGCACAGGGTGCGTCCCAGCGTCCACAGTCAGGCCAGAGTTGAGGGGCTCACGCTCCAGAAGGATTGAAAGCCTCTTGGCCTTTCTTCTCCTCATGGAGAACTCTCGAGGGCTGGTATCTATGTGGATCAACCCGTCCACTCGACAGTGGTCTGTAAATATTTGCAGAGTGAATGGCTGGATGGGCCTAAGTCCCCGTCAAGGTCACACAGGCAGACATGTCCAAGAGGGAGATCCCTGGCCCAAATCACCCCACCGGCCAGCAGCTCTGAGTGACATGATCTCTTTACCACCAAAGCCACCAGAGTCCGTCGGAGAGCTGGGTGTGATGCTGTATGTGCCTCGCTGAAAGTGGGCCCAGGCTGGGGTCAGAGCAGGGACGAGGGGAATAGGAAGCCACAGGACCAGGGGCAGAGCAGGTGTGAGGCCAGCCCTCCAGGAGGCCCATCCCAAGGGTCCTGGCCCACTGAGGCTTGGTCCAGCTGGCAGAGGGCAAGAGGCGGGAGCCGTGACTTCCCTTTGTGTGTGTCACACTCTGGGCACATGTGCAAAGTCAGAGGTCCCGGGGAGGTCCTGGGCCTGGTGGCACCTCTTGGATCCCTAGGAAGGGGTGACTGACTGTGTGCTTTCAGCAATCAGCCTCTGGCTTTTGAAGGGTGTTGGCTCAAGATCAAAGAGGGCTTCGTGAGGAAGAAAGGGAATTCAGATATGCCAGGGTCCAAGAGGCAGGTGGTCGGAGAAACTGGCCAGAGCAAGACATGCTTGGCATCAGAGACTCACAGCAAGCGCTGCAGGCTCAGCCAGATCTAGGCAAACAGTTGGT